CATTTGCAGATTGCAATGCACTAGTATTGTATTCATTTGCAGATTGCAATGCACTAGTGTCGTATTCATTTGCAGATTGTAATGCACTAGTGTTGTATTCATTTCCAGATTGTAATGCACTAGTGTTGTATTCATTTGCAGATTGTAATGCACTAGTGTTGTGTTCATTTGCAGATTGTAATGCAACGTCTGAATTTGAAGCGAAGTGTGAGCTCATCCTGAACCTTAATAGGTACAGTATCTCAGATAGTGTGATTTATTTGTTGAAAATGCTGTCTATCCTTTCTGTCTGAATGACGAATATAAGTATTACAATCGTAATGCGATAAAATATTCAGTAATTCTTTGCATTTTCAAGTGTAATCATTAGTGTATATAATTCATTCCAAGCGCATGGTAGAGGCATTTGAAACACTGTAGTGAACATTACCACAACATCAGCAATAGTCTCGATATTTTCATGACATAGTATAGCATTTAGCTACAGTTCATCCGATATCCTTGATTTTGACATTATGATAAAGAAGAATATGGCTACTAAGCATGGTGCGACTATCATAGGTAGTCATTAGATGCAAACATATAGTTGCCGTGGACACAATATTGATGACTATTCATAATTCTGTTATGAAAAAAACAAAAACTTTTAGGAACGGTAGTGGCTCACAATATTTTTGGAAACTTTGCTAAATTATTCTTTATGGTTATTTCTTTATAAAATAAGATACCCAGACTAGGTCTTTATCAGCTTAAATCTTCACGCATTTTGCAATTTTCCAATACAAAATGGGCAATTGAACGTCATTTAAAAAAAACAGTTGGTTTCAGGAATACTGCTTTATTTATAATACACATCTTACCATGAGAAAGATTGGACAAATGTAGGGCCAACATATTCGCCAGTACGGCCCTGGTCCCGATCCTAGCATCTCAGCAATATCTCCACAGAATCGTTTATATCCTATAATATAATGATAGAATATTGTGTTACGATTTGGCAAATAACAAGTCTCGGGTGGTAAATTTAATTTTTCGGGGAGGGGAACACTACCACTATAACAGTTATACAAGGTAGCTAAATGAGGCGTTATGACATGATGTATTTCCAGGCGCTATTCACTGGTCCATCTTGGCGACTCGGTTGAACCATATACACGAGACAATTTATGCGTCGCTTGGTTCGATGTCTCATGAATTGTTCTGTGTTAATCTGCCTTTGTGTTCATTTAGTTCTCACTCACCATAGAACCAAGACACTGCAACTGCCTCAAACAACACCGCCCATAGTATAGAATAACCGGCGACATAAGCGTCAAGTAATGATACCACATACGGCCCTCCCTGGTAACGAAACATAAAAAAACATACCGTTAACGTGGAAAACATATAGTTTAGGGTACTCTAATGGACTCTATAATGTTATGATACTGTATACCCATGATAAACCTTTTAAATATAACGTTAATTTGCCAACAAATGTGTTTGCACGTCTAACTTATAACCCTTAACTACCTGTGTACACATGGTAAGTCCTATAACAAAGTAAAAAGCGAACAAGCATCCCACGAAGATCTCTCGGTGTGGTTTAATTGACTTTGGGAACTCATCTGATACACCTGTCAAAATGGCTTCTGATCCTCCAAACTGAAAAAAATATGAAAGACACATATTGGAACAAGATCGAAAAAAACAAAGCTGTAATTGCATCCATACATTTATGTCTGTATTTGCGGTTATACATACATACATACATATATATATATATATATATATATTAATTTGCAGCAAGATTTCCCAGCTTACCGAACTATCCAATCCCAGTGTGATTAACATTGCAAAGAATATCAAGGACCAGAAAGTAGATCCGGGCATGGTTGACAGCGCTTCGGGGTATACGATAAACACTAAGCCAGGGCCTGTAAAATACGATAGTTAGCGGGGATTATGCAGAGTGACAATTATTATTAAGGTATATAGTTGGGTTCATGTGCGCCTTGAATGATAAACATATTTTTTGTTTATGTTTCAAAATTGCCATTATCTATGTATTGGTTCTGCTGTTGGTGTAGGTGTTAGAGTTTGTGTGAGAAGCGCGTCTGATGACTTTCTTTCAATAACAGACATACCAAGTGACGAAAACTTGAACCTAAATTTGCGTAGTTTAGGGTTAGTAAAGGGGTAAGGTATTATACACTTCATATTGAATTTAATCTACAATCTTTACTAACCCTAAACATTTCTATGCTAAGTTACAAAATGTATGATGTTATTTCTACTTTGCATTTTTATTTAATTAAACTTTAATTAAAACGCGATTCTATATACAGTTGCAATTTAATTGAGTTAAATTAAACCACAATTAAATCGCAATCGTGTATAGAGTTGCGTTTTAATCCAACCATATTTCCACTATATTAAAATGTAACATGTTGTTAATGGTATGTAGACACTAATTTAGGCGTGTGTGTGCGCGCGTGGGTGTCTGCCCTCTGAGTAGGCTTGAATTGTGCGCTGACTTAATTACATAATTTACATAAATTACCCAATACCCATCAAATTTCATATCCATAATAATACATACCTAAATAGGGGCATGTGACCCCATTAATTATCTGTAAATATCTCAAGCACTATTGTAGATAAAGCCACACAACAAGTGATTAACATATCCGATGACCATATGTGGTCATGCGAGCTAAGTAATATGCATATCTTAATTACAGTTTGGGACATGTAACTAGTACTGTAATTGTTTTTTTGGATACGATATGTGATCAAAATATAAAATCATCATATATGGTCATGATTTCATTTAATATTTATAAATATTAAACCATAACCGAATGGAACCACTCTGAGCAGTTTTGCATTTTTATTTTAAATGAGGTATTTGCTTTATCGGAAGCACGCGTGCTTGAATGCAAATGACAAAGGCATACAGTAAATACAATAGATGTATTAGGAATGTGTTTCTAACACAGTATTCCTTATTTGTAACGATTGTGTGTGCTGTACAAGTACTGCAAAAGACAGTGACAAACGAGCATCGCTCTTCGAATTGTGTAAATATTGTTTTTTATGTCGCCTTGAACCCATATCAAGCACGACTCGTGACAGAATCCCCTGCAAGATCAACATTCTGATTCGCGTCATATTCCTTTTCATTGTTGTCGTCGTCACCATGATAACTCACCTTCGGTAGCAACTTCTCCCACTTCTAGGCCCTGTCTCTCTGCCATATATCCGAGCACAGAGAATATAACAAAACCAGACCCGAAACTTGTAAGGCAGTTGATACTGCTTGTTACTAAGGCGTCTCTGAATTCAGGAAAAAAAACTAATTAATTAGGTTTATAAAATAAAGAAGTAAATTATGAAATATTCTAAATCAATAATGTTTTAGCGAGGTTATATAAATTAATATAAGTTATAATATTCTTTATAACTGTACACGCTAGAAGAGAAAAAACAAATACCTATATACATTGTTGTTAAATTTATTGTAGCTCGAAAATGCAAGAAGAACACCGAAACCTGGTCCCAATGAGAAGAATATCTGTGTGGCAGCGTCTATCCAAACCTGTAGATTCAAATACAAAATAATAATAATGAACAAGTGTACAATAACGAGAAGCGCCACCAAATGTCAGAGAACAGTTTATTTCAGACTGGCGTCTGTAGAACGGCTCTGTATCGTACTCACCTCCGACGACTGTAACCTGCCCCAGTCTGGTATGAGGTAGTACGCGATTCCTTTACGCGCTCCAGGTAATGTCACTCCACGTATTAGAAGTATAAATAATACAAGATAAGGGAATGTAGCAGTAAACCATACAACCTGTGGTATTAGAGTTGAAATATACATGTAATTAACAGTGGTCAATTAAAATATACACACGATCCTGATAACTAGATTATACCTGCCATCTTTTTCAAAACTTTTGTTTTCTGGCAATTAGTATTCAAAATGATGACTTCAGAACTTAATTACCGCCAGTTTTTATTGATAATAAGGTGACTTCTATTTTGCCCATTTTTTTCTCGCTCAACTTAGATGATATCTTATCGTTTTGAAGTATTTGTGAAAAGAATTGCATTAATCGGTTGTTATGGCGACAACGAAGCCTTATTAAAGTTGTGCATATAGTGCTAAATTACTAAGGACAAATGTGAGCATAAAATAAAATTTCTGGCTTTGAACATGTTTTTTTATTTTTATTACATTCATTGCTTGGGAACAATTTGAACACTTCACACTTTAATCCAGTGAAAATAAACATGCTACAAAAACAAAATATAGACAAAAACAATCCACAAACCTGGGTCTCGTCCATGACAAATAAAACTAAAGACGATTTCTTTGAGAAATAGCTTACCTTCCCAGAGGCTTTGATACCTTTCCAAAGACTAAAATAGCAAATGATGTAAACAGCCATTAAACATAAAACTAGTTGCCAACGAATATTTCCAAGGTAACTCACGCCATCTGCTTCATGTAACTGGAACACGCCTCTCCTGTAAAGAAAATTGATGTCGTAGAGCGATAAATCCATAACCAACAACAACTTAAAGAAAGCTTCTAAAGAACTCCCGTGTGCTGAGGGTATTGGAGGCATGAAGTACAAATGAGGAAAACTGTATTTCAATACACATGGAGCAACAATTGTGTTTAATGCATGCAAAATCATTGTCTTATTTTAACCATAGACTTGTGTTTGGAATTTATATATATAGTAAGTAAATGTGTTTCTAATAGCGCAAATACAGCATTTGAAAATACAACTGGTTTAACAATTATAAACAATTTAACAATTCATTAGAGCCCTGGTTACATGTCACTACCCTTAACAGAGCTTAGTACATTACAGTTATGCATATTAAGAAGGACACATGAAGCTATTTATACTGAACAGTTCATTAATATGTATGGATTTTAACCCTGAAATGATCCGATCTGTGGACTATCCAAAAGCACCTATGTACCTAGTTTCATTAACATGTTATGAGTGGTACTCAATTTATCTGTTCAGCACTTCTAAATTAGTTAATGTATGCAAATTAGGCAATTATTAAGCACACAATTTAACCATAAACTGAACATGTACATGGCATATACCAGGCTTCATTAAAATATGTTGAATGATACTTGAGAAAAAAGTGAAAATGGCTAAGTGGCTTAGTGGCTAATTAATATGCAAATTAAGTCATTAACATGCACGATATTTCAATCAAAAATTAATCTGGTCTATGAAATATCCCACAGCATCTGTTTACCAAGTTTCAATGACATCTGTTGAATAATACATGAGAAACAAGTGAAAATGCTTAACATTGACTAATTAATACACAAATTATGTCATTAATATGTACGTATTCCACCCAAAAAGTACTCAGCAATATCCCAGAATATCTATGTATCAGATTTCATCAAAATCATACACACAAAGGAACTAACCGACTCCCATTGTGTGCTCACCATCTCTACAACATGATGATTTCACTGATACAATCTCGGTGACATTATAGTATATAGTATGGAATTACATGGTGGTTTATATGACGTACTCGTACAGGAATTTCTGTTCCATATAGGTAATCAAATACATGCTGAAGTTCGGATCGTCAGAACGCCGTTATTTAGCCATCGGGTGAGGAGGTGTTACTATAGTGACAACACGTACACACGTGTCAGAGATCATTTCGGATAACGCGTATATTACGGTAGCCCAAATAAACAAACAAAACATTATCCACGTTTTGGCTCTGCTACTTCAAACTCAAATAGGTGTAATCCTTGAATCAGTGTCCATTGGATTTGAATTTTTAGACTATATAGTAACGTGTTTCTTAGGAAAAAGGTCGAGTTTTTTTATATTGTGTAGTCTTCTCAAACAATGTCAGAAGTGTTAAATAATTAAGCAAGTTTGTTTGCGTAGCCGACACTCTGTTTAACAAATATCAGTAACAGAACAAAATAAACTATCAACAATCACAGTTCCACCTGAAACAAGTAGTACATTGAAGATATTTAATTGTAAAACTCAAGTTTAAAGAATGATTAATTTGCATAATCATTCACCCAGTGCAAATTTCATAGACACATATAATAAAGTAGTTGCAACTCTCACTTAAATATTCCGATTACTGTTTTTGAAATGTTATTAATAGTAGATTCTTGCAACGACTTTCACAACTAATACTTGTACATCAAATAATACAAAATATTTGGTTTGGATGTTCGAACATTTGAACATAAACTTGATCAATTATAGTTCTATTTTGGAATTGTAATAATGTGGAGCATAGACTGTCTCATATAAAGAAATGCAAAAATATTTGTTCAGGGTCGCGAGTGCTCACGAACCTGTACGTATACTTTAAACATTATCGATTTCTGTTGGACGTACATTGGTATACTATGGCGACGCTATTGAGGAATTGCTGTGTGAAATAAAATGAAAACTTACTCAAAGTATTCGGTAGCTGCTGAGACTGTTTTGTTTATGTATACATATTGCGTTGTGCCATTGAAATCTATTCCAAAGCCTTCAGGAAGATCTGACATAGAATCGTTGTATGCCATCAGAGGCACAAAGTATTCCGGACCCTCAGTGGGCAAGAAGCAAAGCTCTGTGTTGAATTCGTTATCACAGTGACTCCATGGAAGGACGGTCGTGAACGATGCGAAGAAATAATAGAACGCCCACGAGATTATGACGTTGTAATAAAAATCGACATAAAAGGCAATCATGACCACGGCCCAGCCTATGCCTGCAAAACAAAAAGACCATTTTAAGACATTCCCTTTACAATTCCTGTACACGAACTCAAATGATACCATAGAGGGCGCCAGCAATACTCACCTTTGAACAGCGGACACAATTTTTTCCACAGAGTTATAGCTCCCGTACGATTGTACTGACCCAAGGCGAGTTCCATATAAAATAGTGGAATGCCTCCAACTACCAGCATTATGATGTATGGTATAAGGAAGGCACCTGTAAATAAGTTGTAAGAAGTTAAACCATGCACATTGCAGGTATTTTTTTAAACTATTTCAAAACCGATATATTAAAAACAAATTACGAAACACCTTGTCGATCACAAATAGTAATCTGTCAGTAGCAATTGACTTTTCTTTCACGACAAGCAGTCTGTTAGTCACAAGTACCATGTCAGTCACAAGTACTATGTCAGTCACAAGTACCATTGCAGTCACAAGTACACTGTCACTTACAAGTACTATGTCAGTCACAAGTACTATGTCAGTCACAAGTACCATGTCAGTCACAAGTACCCTGTCACTCACAAGTACCCTGTCACTCACAAGTACTATGTCAGTCACAAGTACTATGTCAGTCACAAGTACCATGGCAGTCACAAGTACGCTGTCAGTCACAAGTACACTGTCACTGACAAGTACTATGTCAGTCACAAGAACTATGTCAGTCACAAGTACCCTGTCAGTCACAAGTACTATGTCAGTCACAAGTACTATGTCAGTCACAAGTACCATGGCAGTCACAAGTACTATGTCAGTCACAAGTACCATGGCAGTCACAAGTACTATGTCAGTCACAAGTACCATGGCAGTCACAAGTACCCTGTCAGTCACAAGTACACTGTCACTCACAAGTACTATGTCAGTCACAAGTACCCTGTCAGTCACAAGTACACTGTCAGTCACAAGTACCCTGTCAGTCACAAGTACTATGTCAGTCACAAGTACCCTGTCAGTCACAAGTACTATGTCAGTCACAAGTACTATGTCAGTCACAAGTACCATGGCAGTCACAAGTACCCTGTCAGTCACAAGTACACTGTCACTCACAAGTACTATGTCAGTCACAAGTACCCTGTCAGTCACAAGTACACTGTCAGTCACAAGTACCCTGTCAGTCACAAGTACCCTGTCACTCACAAGTACCCTGTCAGTCACAAGTACTATGTCAGTCACAAGTACTATGTCAGTCACAAGTACCATGGCAGTCACAAGTACCCTGTCAGTCACAAGTACACTGTCACTCACAAGTACTATGTCAGTCACAAGTACCATGTCAGTCACAAGTACACTGTCAGTCACAAGTACTATGTCAGTCACAAGTACCCTGTCAGTCACAAGTACGCTGTCAGTCACAAGTACACTGTCACTCACAAGTACCCTGTCAGTCACAAGTACTATGTCAGTCACAAGTACACTGTCACTCACAAGTACTATGTCAGTCACAAGTACCCTGTCAGTCACAAGTACACTGTCACTCACAAGTACACTGTCACTCACAAGTACTATGTCAGTCACAAGTACACTGTCACTCACAAGTACCCTGTCACTCACAAGTACCCTGTCAGTCACAAGTACCCTGTCAGTCACAAATACACTGTCACTCACAAGTACTATGTCAGTCACAAGTACTATGTCAGTCACAAGTACCCTGTCAGTCACAAGTACCATGGCAGTCACAAGTACTATGTCAGTCA